TGTTATCATTGGGTTGATTATTTTTACCCGAAAATAACATTAATTTTATACAACAAGATGATCACAATTGTAGTTAATGTTTGCACGAAAAGAAAAAGAAGTCAATGTTTATCCATAGTTGATGTTTATGTACCAGAATGAAATTGAGGAATGAAAAAAAGATGAACTAATGATGGTGATGAGTAGGGTGAGTGGAATCATGAAAACGATTAACTAATGTTTAGAAGAAGAAAAAAAAGTTCTGTGAATATCTAAAGATTGAAAGTGAAAATCATGTTGAATGCATTATGATTACTATTATCATTTTGGGTTGACATTATTTGCTTTTAGTATCTTTTTTTTCAAAAGAAGTACAAAAAATGTCAAAGGGTTCATTTTGTGAATAATTGAATGTTGAAAAAATGTTTCAGGTAATGAATTTGAGATAAAGGGTAAAATGGAAAGAAAAGTGATTAGGAATTATCATTATTCTGATGAGAATTTTTTTGCTTCTCAATTCATTGTTTATCTTGTTTTCAACTTGTCATTGAAAGTAATCAAAATCAATTGAAAGTGAACATTGTTTTTTTAATACATTAATGTATACATAAAGTAGTGTAAAGAGTGAATAAAAGAGGTGAAGATGGGAACAGGTAGGGAATTGAATTTTTCAAGGAAAATGAATGAGTGTAAAAGAAATGTTATTTAAAATTCTGGGATAAAGAAGAACGGAAAAGAATTGAATGGAGAGGTGATGAAGATGAGAATGGAAATGAAGATGGGGAATGTAATGGTAGTAAGCAGGGAAGAGAAGAGCATCTGAAAGTTATTCTGATGCTTATTTGAAAAGCATTTCAAGCATAGTTAAAATTTTCATGAGATGAAAGGGAAAAGATTTTGTTTCTTTCCCCAAACTGTGTGTTCAGGGTAAAGGGAGAAGAGGGAAAATTGGGTGGAAGATGAAAGGGGAAGAAAAAATCCAGAATTTGATATTCTATGGATGAGGTTGATATGGAAGGATGGGTTTAGTTTTGTGGGGTAAGTAAAATTTATAGCAATATATACAAACAGAAATAAAGAAAAACTCATTTCTTCTTTGCTTTATTTTTTTTTCTTCATCTTCTTCTTTTCTTTTCTTTTCTTTTCTCCTCATCTTTTCATCTTTTCCTCTCTTTTCTGCCTTTTCTTTTTTCACCAATTTCTTCTCCTTCAAGCAAAAGCACAGATCAACTAAAGGTTACAGAAACATATATAACAAATATATAAGTTAGCGTGTATAAAAAATTCATATCACTAAATCGAGTTGAAACAGATGAGAAGAGAATAACGAAAAGAAGAAGACATTTTGATGATGAAGATGAAATTTAGAAGAAGCTGAATAGATTGAAAGATGTAATCGTGAAGCAAGAGTGGTGAAGAGATGAGGAAGGAAGGAGAAAGGATGAGGAAAAGATGAACAGTAACAATCTGTAAATAGCAAGTTAACCGCAAAGATAAAGGTAAAGAAGAAGAAAAGTTTACATCAATTTGATGAGGAGAAGAAGAAGAAAAGGCTTCAAGATGAGGGCTTTAAAACTAAAATGGTCACCTTCATCATCTTTCCATTCTTGTTTTCATCTTCACCTCATCCATCATCCATTATATTTTGTTGCAAAACATGATTTTTACAAGTGAATGTGTCTGGAAACGAGAAGTAGTAAAAAAAGTGGTGAAAGGGAAACAAAATTCAACAATGGCATCACATCATGCAACTGATGAAAACTCATCTCCAGGTCATTCCCACTCTGCAAGTTTTAATTGGCAGAGAGCAAAACAAGAAATAAATTCAATCAAATATTGGCAGGAATGGCGAGTGCAAATGACGCAGTTAACAGTCAATCAGTTTCAATGCGTGCAACCGATGGACTTAGCACACTTTTCAACTGATTTACTTTACTTCTTACCATGAATAAGATTTGATTTAATAGGCTTTTCTTTTTCACCTTTTCTTCTTTTCTTCTTTCTTTCTTTCTTTCCTTTTTCTACCTTTTAAAAGCTCATTTTGAAAAATGACGAAGGCGTGAGGTATATGAGCAACAATAATGGCAATAACAATGATGATAATAAGCAAAACAACAGCAACTAAGCGTAGACAAAATTGTCCCTTTCAACGATAATAAGCAAAAGCTTTATAATGATAATTTTTGGGTTGGCAAAACATTTCAAGACAAATAACTTTTTTTACTTTGGGAAAATTGAAAGCATATTGTAATGTCCATTTCAACTTTTCAATGTTTCTTTTCATCTTATTTTAGGTTAACATTAACGTTAACATATTCAAAGGTTAACCATTTTTTGTTGGCTCTTTACTCTTCTTCTCATGGTCAAGAGTGGAAAAGGTTAAAATAGCTAATGGCTCATGGTCAGTCTTGTATTGACTGCCTTTTCATATCATTTTCTGGCTTCTGTTTGTGTTTATTTTTAACTTTCCATTTAACCTCAATCATTTTCAACTCACCTTTATCTGCTTTTTTCTTGTTGTTGTTGATAATGATGAGGATGCATTTGACTGAACTTGATCATTATTATCATTATTCTTGCTCACTCTTTCTCATCGAACACACAAGTAAACAAGAAATTTCAAGATGAAATGTTTTCTTTACCGTGTTGTTGTTTTTTCAATTGCTGTTGATATTAGCACTGTTAATGCAACAATGGTATTCATTGTAACTTATTACTATTTGGTTAAACCATCAACCAGACAGGTAAAATGTAATATTATTATTAGTGTGATTATTGTTATTAACCATTGTAGCTGGCTAATGTGAAAAAAATAAACCTGTTTTCATCAACATTCAACACTTTACTAAACAGAAGATAATGATGATAATGAATAACAAGTGAGTTGTAAAGATGGCTGTTGCCTTGAGAGTATCAATATGAATGATTGTGATTATACATAATGATATTAACATTAAATTATAAACTTGATGACGGTTAATGTTGATGATTCAATGAGAAAAGAATCATGGCGAAAAGGTATTTTCATGGGACAATCATTATATTATGCAAAATGTTTCACTTTGCAACCCTTTTGATACACGAATCAAACACGATTAGATTAAATGATTCACCTCGAAACAAGTCACTTTTCCTCTTCAATTTCATCATTATCTTTCTTGTTCCTCCAACACAGCATGAAGTTGCCAAGACTGTAAAAGTCTGAAAAGCAAAAAGGCAAAAGAAGAAGAAACAAGAAAAGATAAAATATGTTCAATTAACAGACAAAAGAGGAAAATGTCTTAAAGATGAAGATAAGAGAGGAAGGAAAGCTTTGGTGTGACCAATGGAAATTAGTGGAAAGCAATGGTCAGTAAAGTAACTGGTAAAAGTTTAATCAACAGTACAATTGCAAATGATTATTGTGATTAGTTTAGGTTAGGCAAGGAAAGACACAAAAATTCAGTGGACCGGCAATTGTCAGTTAATGTGATAAAGTAAAGAGAATGTGAGACAAAAAAAAGGAGAGGAATGATTAGTGAGCTTCAGTGAGGGTGGTGATGATGATAAAGGAGGAGGGAAACAGTGAAAGTTTGTTTGCAAGGCTTAAGAGATGAGAGCCTTTTTATAATAGGTTTGTTCACAGATTGACTAACAATGGTATAAAAAAGAGAGAGCATAATAATAAGATTTAAGTTGATTTGGTTGGTTGATTTTAAGAGATATTGACAGTGAATGTGTGTAAAGTTTGTTGTCAGTGTAAGCAGTGAAAGTAATAACTATTAATGTAATGATCATGATGGTAATAGAGTGAAAAAAATGTAAATTCAAACGTTTGTTACCAACAGAAGACACACATTACGAGTTAACAACTTTGGTTTGTAAAGGTAAAAGGGAATCAAAGGTTGAATGGTAAATATGAAAACATTTGAGTTAATTAAGAGAAGATTTTTTCTTCAAATGTTTAAAATGCTTTTTCATGAGATTCAGTTAAGATTGTATATACACTTTGTACTTGGTTAATTGATATGTGTTACAACTGCTTAAGATTGATTATAATTTGCAAAAATGAGTTTTAGCATCATTATGAGATGAAGATGAGTTGAAGAGAAACATTTAAACTTTGTTTTTCCTTTTTGTTGGAAACATTTTTTTTACTTTGCAAAATAATTGTTGGTGGCTTTTGTTGAACAAATATACATGAAGATGAAGATGAAAGGGATTCATTGTCAGTTGAAAGAAGATGGTAAAAGAGTGAAAAACTACTTGAAATGTAGAAGCGCTTCAATGCTAATTAATTACGCTCATTACTTGCAGAATAATCAAATCAAGAGAAGAGTAAAAGACTAAGAAAAAGATGAACATGACATTTTTTTTGGGTACTTTAACCAAAGCAGACAATAAAGACCTAATTGAGGCTTACATTTCATCTTGCCTTTTGGGAATTTTTTCATCAACTTTTTGATTTGTTTCATTTTGTTCAATCCTTTGTAACTATTTTTTTTGCTGCAAATAATAAAACTTGAAACAAATACAATGGGAAAAGGTGATAAATTAAGTAAATAATGTAAAAGTGGAAACAAAAAGATTTAAAATTGAATCAATGAAATCATTTGAAAGGTAATTTTGTTATTTTTGTTAAATATAGTAAAGTAACAAAAATGAAATGGATTGAGATGAAAGGAGTTTTGTTGATTGAATTAGGGTCATAACCCAGCCATTTGTTTGCATTAACACAGTTAACCAATTAATTTTGGTAACTTTTTTTGATTCTTGGCAACTTGCATTGTGTTTATTGAAACGTCAATATGCGTTTCATTGATACACACAAAAAGGATATTAAAGTAGACACGCGTAATGCACAATCCTTTTTGGGTTTATTATCACTTGTATTGACAGGCTTTTGTTGTTTCGTGTGTGTAAATATAATCAGTTTCATTATTTGTTGGACTCTTTTACTGTTGAAAGGATGGAATTTTTGAAACTTTTTTTTTTGCTTTCTGGTGAAAAGTGGATGAACAAAATGAGTAAATATTACATACCAAACAATCTAATTGTGAAATGTGAGTTTTACTACCAGATTGACTGATATCCCATACTTTGACACATCCTTTACCGCCAGTATAAACATGTTTAGTTGGATTACTTATGGTAACAGCACAGACAACTTCACCATGGTTGAGTGTCTCAATTTGACGAGCCTGTCTTGGTATACCTGGACCATGGAGAGCATCCGGTGGGAAAGGAGCTGGAGTTATGTTACCATCAGAGGTAACTAGATAAGAGTATGCGGCTTTGCCACTAGGAATGAGGGGAGTACGAAATGATGGGTGAGGATCGTAACCAACCTAGTTGAGTGCAAGCGTATAAAAAAGGGCATGTTAATCATGTTAATATAATAGTAAATATAATTACGCAGAGTGACAAGAATAACAACAAGAGAAACAACAACAATGAAGGCAAAAATGATTAACACAAACCAACTGAAAACAAGGTCATAGAGTTAGTAATAACATCAACAAATCAAGGAGGCAACAGAGTGAGACAGATTGAAAGATGAGAAGAAAAAAAGTGAAAAGTGAAAAAAATGATAGCAAAAAATCAGAGTTACAGGGTTGGCCATTTCATGGCATCTTCATGAGATACTTTCATAATTGAAATTGCAAACAATGAGAAATGTAAAGCTTGAGAAAGTGTGAAAAATGCGCCAATTTTGAAGCAAATTTCAAACTAAATTGATTTGGAAAATTTTGCTCAGAAAATTGAAAAAATTCAGAGATAATCATGTCAATCGATAAAGTCTGGTTTTGAAACATTTGGAAGGAAAAAAAACTTTTCACTTTTTTTACAAACATTTGCTGTCCATTTCAATGAGAGTTGAAAGGAATGAAAATTTGATTGAAATTTGGTTTCAAAGGTTGTTATAAAATCATTGATACATTGTTGTTTCTCATCTGACTGTTAAGTTAATTGAAAGATACTTACCAATCCTCGAGGAAATGAATTTAAACCAGGATTCAGGTTATTATGAAGTAATCCTTGTGAGTAGACAGCCGCTGCTGTTGTTAAATCAGCCGGTATTGCAGGGTGACCCATTGGACCGCCATAACTATGTGGATATGGTGGACCTATTAAAGGTGTAACAGACAATGTTTCATGAGAAAATGTTTAACCGGAAAAAAGAGATTAATTTTATTTAATTAGCACATCTAATTTATCAACACACTTGACCATTTTAGCCTCTCTCTCTTCATTTCCCTTGTCACCATTATTTACAAAAATGGACGTCAACAGATTACATTATTAATTAATCGTTATCATCATCTGAATCATTAGACCTTGAAGCTCTTTTTTTTCTGGTTCATCATTTTACATGTTTTTCTTGGCTGTTTTGTATTTATTTATTTTCTGGTTTTCGTTGATTAACTATGCCAAGTTTGTTGTTAAACAATTTTGTTAACTTTATTTTAATGATAATTTATTAGCATCACATTGATTCAGATAATGATGATGATGTTGGCACAGGAAAAAAAAGTGTAAAATTAGAGGTTAAGATGGAAAAAAGAATCAATTGGTAAATTAGTTTAAAAGAGTTTCCAATTGAATGGTTATAATGAATTGATTTTCTTTCCTCTTCTTTTCAGGCTTTGAAATTGAATTTTCATAAATTGCTCTTTGCCTTTCCTCTCATGAATTAACATGAAACTAATGCTAACAGTTTAGTGAAAATGAAACAGCAATTTTTCAACATTTAATCTGGTTAAAAGTGAAGGGGAAAATTAAAGGGAAACCTTGAAAATTGAGTTTCACTTTTTTTTGTCAAACTAATTGTAATTTGCTACTGATAATCAGTAGTCATAAATTATGAGAGAGTGAAATTAAATTAATCAAGATTTCAATGAAATAAAACACTTAGAACTGCTATTATCACTATAACAAAAAAAACTGGTTTTTACTTTATAATTGATGATAGATTAATGTGTTGTTGACTCAACTTAATTTTCAACTGACTGTATAACAGTGAGTATAATAAGTACATTGGACTCATTATTTATGTTGTATTATATTAAATACAAGTTAACGATCAGGGAAAGATGATCATGAAAGTAATGGAGAAAAGGAGAAAAACCTTTTGCTCATTTGATTAACATTAGGATAATTGAGTTGATCAATAATTGACAGTAAACAAGATGCAAAAGGAGGAGGCAAAATTAATCTGCATATTAAATTGTCCAACTTGTTTCTGTTATTTTGTGTTTCCCTATTAAGCATGGTGAAGCATTAAAAAAAGTTTTGTATCAAAATACCTTAATCTTTTAATGGGATTTAATGTCAAGGTATTATTATTGCAAGTAAAATTAGCTGTAAAGTAATCATGTAAAAATGATAACAATACAAGAATAAGCTTCAACTATTGATTTTTCATGAATAATCGATTAACTTTTTTTTCTCAACTCTGTCAAATGCATTAGTCAGCTAATGGTGAGTAAACAATGATAATTGGACAAAGTGAATGTTGATTAAGATGTAAATTGGTTAATTGTTGAGCTTACCGATGGAGGTTGTTGGCTTTGGAGTTTTATTGGCATTATTGTAAGGTGTCCCAGAGCCAGAACTTGTGGGTGTAATTGATTTTGAAACGGGAGTACTTGGCTTGTCATTCTGAAGAGAGAGAAGAAATGAATTGATAAAATTAAATTAATCAATCACAGTGTGTAATCAAGTGTTTGAGAAGAAACAATAAAAGTGGATAATTTGCCTTGAAGCAAATTGAAATTATAAATACATGGGATGCTTATGAAGGTTTTGGAAGAAGCACGATCACGCGCCAGATTATGATAATTATCATTGTTCTGAATTACAGAGATGTAAAGATATGAGCATTCTCAGTTCTTTGTTTTTCTCATCTTATATTAAAAAAAAGAGGCATCAATATCACCTCATCAGTATTATTATTTTAACAATACGTTATTCATGAAGCGTGAAATTGCCGAGAGAGAAGATGAAGAGAGAGAGAAATATTTTAGAGACTCTTGGTTATGTTAAACGGAGGGTGAAAAGGTCACGGGAAGGTTGGTTTGCAGTGGTTGATCCGATGAGAAGGCAAAGATAAGGTTTATCGGAAGAGTGGGGAAGGGAGGAGGATAAGAGTGTAACATTGAAAAATGTGTGTAAATGAATGATGTTTATGATGAGAGAAGGGAAAATGTGCGTTGAAAAGGGAATTAACTGACTGATGGAAAGGCAATCAAGCTTAATCAAGTGATCCAAGAATGTACAAAAGCATTGTTGCTAATATTGATGTGAATCATTTTAACGATTACTAGAGTAACTTTTACTTTTTTTGCTGTTGTTGTATTTGCTGTTTTGTCTTCATTGGTGACTTATTTTTAGACAAGATATGACAGTGTTTTCACATGTGCATAGACAATTGGTGGGGAGATGACAATGAATGTGAAGTAATAGATGATTATATCAATAAAGTTATTGGCAATGGGAGGCCAATGATTTTGGCTTTTTATTTTGTCTTCTTTCAGTGGTTTCTAAATGGTAAATATATCTTCTCATCATTTTCATCATCTCTTCATTTTGATCCATTAAAAATAACCTCCTAATATTGGGTGCTTAATATGTACACAATTGGTTACTTGTCGTTAATAGATCTTTGTGTCTCTTTCCATTATAATATTATCATAATGAGGTGTGCGTGTCAACCTTGCAACAATTTTTACTTCTTCTGTTTTTCCCTCTTTATCACATAGACACACATCCTTTTCCCACTCCCAGCTCATCGTTTCAGTCCCTTTGGCAATAGTCAACAATCAATTGCGAGTTAGTTTTTTTTGTCTGTTGTTGCTGCTGTTGTGTTATCAGTTTGTTCAATAAAATGCTCATAAAGAGTGAGGCAAATAAAGTTGCTTTTGTTGACTTTGCGTGCTTTTGCATTTTGACGATATTCATCATCAACTGATATCATCATTGACAAAGAGAGAGACAAGATAAACTGAATTGAAAAGGAAAGGGATGTTGAACAAGAATAATTGTTTCAATGTATTGCTTACCAAATGGTCTTTTGGTTTTGTTGACAAAGGAGTGCTGCTGTTGGATGAGGAACCCGATCGACTGGGAGGTCGAACTTCACGTTTTATCCTCGAAGTGTCTGTTCCGTTCTCACGAGGTGAAGACTCCCCATTATGCGGTGAAACTGGCTCCTAATAAATGATACAAAATGCAACATTAATTAATGACAATGGCCATGGCAACATTTTGATGGTTAATGAGAGGAGGAAATAAAAATGCAATAAAAAATGAACCAACAACTAAAAGATGCAAAAACTTGACCATTTGACAATTTATGGACAACAACAATCTGTAACAATTTAAATGATTAGTGATGCTTAAACTGAAAGCATCACTAAACAGATTAGTTAATGTGAAAAACCAATCAATTGCAAGTTAATATTATTCATTTATTAATAATTAATTATCATTTGTATTGTTTTTTATTACTATTTATTGTTAAGGTTCATGTTGTTGCCATCAACTTATCAAATAATTACAATTACAAAATTGTAATCCTGGTAACATTATAAATCAATGATAAGGTTAATTGACTTTGATGGCAAGGTGATAATTAATTAATGAAATGAGATGGATAGAGATAGAGAAAGAGGAAGAAAGAGCAAATATTGAGTGTAAAAAGAACTGGTAAATCATTAAATAGCTATAAATTAAAATGGTTAAGGTTGATGAAAAAAAGGAAGTCAAAAAATGTTGATTTCTGCCAATTTCAAGTTAATTTGTTCAACATTTACAAAAAAATATAACATTTATAAACATAAACACATAAAGGGATTGAAATGAAACAACTAATAAAGATAATAAATAAACATGCAAAAAAATTCACTTCTTTGTATAACCAAGTTTATCCTCATCTTTTTACCTTCATCTTCATCTTGGTTTAGTTATTTTTTTAGTTTCATTTTTTCATCATGGAAAGCCTCTTTTAAAGCTAATAAAGTTCTCCATGGAATATAACTATTAAGTTTGTATTTATTCATAAAGAAATGGAGAGATGAATATGAGATGTTCATCATCATCACCATTTACATCTTCATTCTCCCTGTGAGTCTGCTTCACACAAATAAACACACAAGCTTTTTTGTCTGGCTTGTTGTCAGTTAACTCCTCTAATGTTACACTAGTTTTGTATGCTTAGAGCCTCTTCTTCATCCTCATCATCATCATCATCAACCATTATTATCATTTTCCCTTCTTTTTCCCTTCTAATCTCTTTCTTTTTCGTCTTCTCTTCTCTAGACATTTTTAAACCAATTATGGGTCCATCTTTTCATCTCTCTCTTTGTCTTCCTCCTCTTTACCCATTTTTATATTAAACACTATTTAACATGAGACTTTACCATCTAATCCCTGCAAACATCATCACCATTATCATCATAATCATAACAATCATCATCACTCATCAATAATATCAATTAACATTCAAAGGTTACTTCATAACTAGACTTGGCTAAAAGACAAACAGATAGACCAAACAATAATAGTAACAACAATAACATAAACCATTTTCTTAATACAAAAAAAAACTCTTTTTTTCTTCTTTTCCACAATTTCTTTTTCTCATCTTCTTCTTCTTCATTTTCATCTTGTTTCATCTTCTTTTTTATTTCTTTTTCTCTTCTCTTCTCTTCACTTTCCTTGTTGCTCTTACTTTAGTCTTCCTTTTATTTCCTTTACTTTTACTCGATTTTTCTGCTTAATGTAGTAACAGGATCACTCCCAAGAGCATTTCTCATCTTTATTTCTTCATCTTCATCTTCACTATCTTCACCATCTTAGTTTCCTCTTCATCTTATGTCTCACTTTTTTTTACTCTTTTTTTCACTCTCCAGTCTCTCTTCATGTTGATCGATTGGCAAGAAACCTTCTCAACAATTCTCTTTCTCTTAATGTTACCTTCTTCTTCCTCTTCCTTTTTCCCCATCTTCATCTTTCTCTACTCTCTTCAACTCCTCTGAATTCAAGACAGTCTCAAGAAGCAAAATCAATTTAAACAGTTAGAGTCAACCTAACTTAACCTAGCAACTATGTGAGTATCTAACTGTTTGCATGACTAGGTTAAGGAAGGGAAAGAAAGTGTAAAGAGGAAGATGAAAAGAGAAAGAAAGACTCAAAGATAAAGACAGAGAAGATGAAGAAAAGGGGAAAATTTAAAGTGGAACCAAGTATTATTAACAAGTAAGTCAGATTTACTTTCAAGTACATAGTTAAATGATATTTAACAATGATCATGTCTAGTGATAGATAAATAAAAATGTATATAAAAATAATGCGTATAAACACTTATCAATATCACATCAACTTGGGTCATTATTAATTTACCAGAAAATTAATAAACCAAAAAATTTTGGGTTGAGTGAAAAAAAAGATGTAAAAGGTTAGTAAAACTTTTCCACTTTTTTTAAACTTTAATCTTGAAGTTGAGCCGTTTTCATTAATGCATGAAACCAACATAAACGATTAATGATTAATCAATGGATAATTTAATTAAGAAATTAACTTGGACACTTTTATCAATCATTATCATCAATTAAAATAGTAATGCCATTTGATTGCATGAAAATGCAATAAGTAATGAGTTTTGTTTTCAAATTGTTACAATAATGATTCGAAGGTGAACAAATTTAAATTTCATTTCGCGTTCATTTAACTAATCATTTTATGACAGCAAAAAAGGCAGAAAAATGCAAAATGAAATGTAATGTTAGAGGATAACAAGTAAAATTGAATAGTTATAGTCAATGGATCTTAAGACTGCGGTTTAAAGAAAGTTTAAGTTTGTGTTTCTACTATTGTTGGGTTGTTGGTGATACAGTTTAAGGTAAACCCAAGATGTATTAGGATACATTTAAAAAGCAATATAACCTTATTTTATTCACTTTTACTTTGGCCTTTCATCAATCAGGTATATTACATGCCAAAGGCAAGCATTTACTTGTTGAAGAGAGGGGAAGATGAAGAGGGTTAACAGTTTGAAAGGCAGTGTCGAAGAGGAGGTAAGCCTGATGACCATAAATCTTGAGAGATTTTATTCAGTATTCATGCTGATTTGGAGTCTTGTTTTTTTTTTAACTTTGACTCTTTGTTAAACTGAAAGGCAACTTTGTGCGAAACTAAAGTCATAGGATATTGAAAAGAGACTGATGAAGATGAGGAAAAATGATGAAGTAAATGACTGAATTTGGAGCTAACTGTGAATATGGTTTTAGCCAACAAAAAACTGAGATAATGGTAAAGGAAATATTAGAGTCTATGGAATGGGAAAAATTGAGAATCACAATAATACCTTTACTGGATGGATTTAAAGTTGCAAAAAGATTACTTTTGCTCAACTATATTTGTTACACTGTTTATTTATTGTGATATCATGTTTGATATTTTATTTTCAATTGTTTCTCATTCTGGGTAAAATATGCTTATAGACATTGAAAGATTCATTCCAATGAAACTGTCAGTTGACATTATTGAATGATGCTTTTCTGATTCTCAATTTTTTCTTTATAACCATCATCATCAAGCCCTTTTTTTTGCTCTTTTTGATTCTTCTTCTTCTTCTTCTTCTTCTTCTTTTGAAGAGTTATTTCTGATTTTTCTTGCTCATCTTTTACTTCCTCTTCTCCTTACATTGCTCATCCTTATTCAATTGAGGGATGGTTGAGTGATTATAGCGTGATTTGAGATCGACTCTTCAAATCTTTATGTTATTATCATAAATAAAAATGTAGACACTGGTTTCATTATCAGATGTGTGAGAACAAGAAATTGGATTAAATGTACATTGAAGGTTGATTAACTGTTGTACAATTGTTGATGATGATGATTATATGGTGAGAAGGGAAAGGATGAGGATGAGGGTTGAAGTTGTTATGATTATGGTTACATAAGAGTATATAAACAATAGATTACCTCGTTAGCGACATCCACCACTAAATCTTGGTCACTTCGTTCATCTTCACTGGCCTGGAGAGAGTAAAATGTATAGAGAGACGAAGAGAGAGGGAGGGCGAGAGAGAGAGAGATAAGGAGAGGACAAGAAATGGGCAGAAAGGGATGAAGAGTGAAAGTGTGAGAGAGTGAGAGAGAGAGAGAACAACAGTCAACAGAGAGACAATCTAACAGCCACAGATAAATACGGTGTAAGAGATGATGAAGGGAGAGACAATTGGGTTTGGTAAACGTGTAAGGTAAGAGTAGAGTGAGTGTGAAAGAAAGTGACAAATTGCAAAATTGTTCAATTCATTTTATTCTTGAATAATTGTTTTATTAAATTATTAAAACGCGATTTGTAAAATTGGTTGTGAAGCAGTTTTTTGAGTGTGATAAAAAATATTATCAATTTGTTCATTTCAATTTGTTAACTAATGCTACTACAATTTTCAATTTAAAAAATGATCAAGAGTAAGAGAGAGAAAGAGAAAGAGAAAGAGAGTTGCTAGGTGAGATTGTTATCACTGAGTCTTGGTGATGAAGTTGACTGAAGAAGAGAAGAGCAAGAAGATTTGGTGAAAAATAACTTTGTTCAAACTCAACAATCAATGTTGTCTCTTTAGTTGTTGTATGTTTTGCAAACAATGTCACGTGATTAGTAATTTAAGTGATGGTGAGAGATGAGGAGAGACAATGGATGAAGAAGATAGTTGAGATGAGAGAAAAGAAAGAAGAAGAAAGAGAGAAGATGATGAGAAGAGAGGATTTGGATGATGAGGCTTAATCGAAATGTGGTCTCATGTAGTGATTGTAGTTATTCGCTGTTAACTTTTGGGATGGAGAAAAATGTAAACAAAACAAGAGAGAGAGAGAGAGAAAGAAAGAAAGGATGAGAAGGTGAAAGAGAGTGAGATTGGGATAAGGTAAGACCGGTAAAGGGTGAAACAGGGTAACAAGGAAGGAGAAGAAGAAAGAAGAGTAAGAAAACAGAAAGGAAAAGAAGGTGAAGAAAAAAGTGGATGCAAAAGGGGTTGGGAGATAATGAAATGATAATGAAACTCACATGATCTAATTTGTGGTCATGGTCTCTTCTTTTTTTATGTTTACTATCTGGTTCTGGTGAGCGACTTCGATGACGGTTACGATCACAGTCAACATGAGGTGAATAATTGTTTCTTGATCTATCATCTAAATGGTTACCAGAACGATTTTTAATGTCATTCATTTCGCGATTTGAAGATGAATCTTTTCCTGAAACGGGTGATGAAGCCGTTGAAATGGATGACAGAGTAACTGCATTGCCCGAAGAGGCGGCCGCTGCAGAAGCAGCTGAACCACCAGAGAGAGCCAAAAGTCCGGCTGCCGCTGAGTTGGGTGGTAAGGCGAGTGGAGGTGGTTGTAGACCAGCAGCCAAGGCTGGATGTGCCATCATTGGTATCGATGAACCATGTGGACCGTGACCGACTGCTGCTGCCGCTGCTGCTGCTGCTGCTGCAGGTATTTGTTGTTGTGCATGCAATTGCTGCATTAAATGAGTTATTCCGGTGTGTTGTTGACCAATGATTGCGTTTAATTCAGGCATAGTAACTTGTTTGGCTCTATCGGCGGCTTGGGCCACTTGCTGTTGGTGTTCAGCGTTAAGAAAAGGCAATATTTGACCAATTATGGCATTCAAACGTTTGGCTATCTCGGTTTGCTTGTGCATCTCCACATTTAATCCGTACGACATTTCATAATACATAACATAATGACGCTGCATGTCCGTCTTTTCAGTTGCCAACTTTTCTAATTCCAATTTAAGTGTATGATATTGATTTTGCAGGTATGCAAATTCATCTTTAATACGATCACAGGTTTCATTAACTGAAAATTTGAATCCACCTTGGCCGGGTTGAGGTGGTCCAGCATGTCGAGCAGGATACATTTTGTTTTATTTATTTAACTTTTGTGGTGACACTGAAAAATTTTGATTAATCTCTTGGTTTTGGTTTGTTTCACGGTAAAATATGCACAATAAATAATAAATTATTAAGATTATTGGAACAAAAATACACAAGATTATTTTCCATCTTTAATGGGAATCATAGACATTATCACTGGTAAATCATGAAAACCTCGTCAGCGTAAAATCAATGATGAACACATCATAGAGTGAGCAAAAGAAACAAGAAAGAGAGGCCAAGATAGAAAAAGGGAGAATGGGAAAGGAAAGAAGCACAAGTACAATCCAAAAATTGTAAGGTTTTGTTGTAAATCCAAATCAAAATAGCACGGTAGACACGAGAAAACAATAAGTTGATGGTGATGACAGTAATCAAATGATATCGATTTGATTGATTAAAGAGAGACAAAAGACGAAGGTAAACCTCAAGGTATAATATTAATGAGAGTTGATTACATAAACTAAAATAATGAGAGAAAAAAATTCTACTCTAGGAAATGAGAGAGTAAAAAAAGGAAGTTTGAAAAGAGAAGAAGAAAAAGCGAAAGTCTAGAGTCAACAAAAAGAAAAAAAGTAACAACAAATGGACATAAATAAACAAATTGAGTAGAGAAGAGAGAGAGAGAAAAAAATCAATGTAGAAAAAAAGAGTTTATCCTTTGGTCAAATCAAAATGATGGTAATGATGTTGGATGATGATGATGTTGATGCACTATGTAAAGACACTCACACAGAAACACACATGTAAACTGTTGAGGTTTTTTTTCTCTCTTGCTGTTAACTCTGGTTTTTATTGATGTATAGATGTAATCAAGGTTAATTATATTTTCAAATTATTGACAACAATCACTAATTTAGTCGAGTTACAGAGTTACCGTTTGATAACTAATGATTAAAATTAAATACAAAATATAAGTTAAACATTACAAGTTGGAAAAAAGGTAATCATTTGAACTGAAAACCAAGACAGATTCATCTGATTTGCTCTCTTTCTTTTTTCTCTTTCTCTGACTCTGTGAGCCTCCAAGCGACAAGAAAGTAAGTAAATGAAACGGTTAAGCGCCATCTTTTGATTTCCAATTAGAACAAGCCGGTTAGCCGAGAAAAGTAAGAGACTAAGCTTAGTTCAACATTTTAGTCTCACCTCGTCTTTCTTTATCTCCCTTGGCTCTTAATTTGCCTTTCTGTACTTTCTTTTGTGTTATTGCTTCTTTCTTTTTTTTTCTTCTTTCCACTTCTTTCTTCTTCATCATCATCATCTTCTTCATCTCTTCAGTCTTCATGTTGCAAAGTGTTGTTAGCTTTTTACAACAAGCAGAAAAAAAAGTAAGCAAGCAAAAAAACAGTGAATAATGTGAATTATGTGAACCCACCAAACCCAAAACTCCACCTTTTACTTGAGCATTATTCTGTTCTAAAGTCACTCACTTGGTTGGTGATGGAGTCACTTACATTCTACTTTGTTAACCAATAAAACCAGTTTGTTGGTTCACTGTATGTGAATTGTTCCCATCAAGAGATTGTAACTTTGTACACAGTAAAATCACCGAGTCTATCCATTCCATGTAGGTGACTTTAATAAAGGAAAAGCTTGGTTACATTGGGTGGTTACTTTGATTCCCTTAACATCATCATCCATCCTCAACTCTCCTCCTTTGGGGTTGATGGGCTTTTGCTTTTGGCACAACACACACACACACACACACACATAACACACAACCAAGCAACTTACTACACCAAGTACACATCTTTGCCTTTCTCTTCCCTCTCTCATCTCTTCTCGTGTCTTTTTCCATCTCTTTCTTTCTCCTCTTTCTTATCTGTTTCTTTTTAACCGACGTGAAAAAGAAACAGAAAAACTCAGAAAGAGGAGTGAATAAAAGTGAAAGAGAGATGAAGAAGAAGAAGAAAAAAAAAGATGTAAGAGCAGAAAGAAAGACTAGAAAAGGTGTTTTCTTTTTTCCCTCTTTATTTCTTCGTTTTTTCATCTTCTTGCTTCTTCTTCATGTGATTCAGATCTTTTTTTCATTCTTTTCATCATCATCATCATCATCATTTTCATCTCTTAGGTTTTTTTAAATTTCTTTTCACTCTCTGTTTCTCTTATTTGGTTTTTTTCTTCTTCTCTAACAATCTTGTCACCTCTTTTCACTCTTTCTGTTTCTCTCTTCAGTCTTGTCTGTCTTTTCTTCTTCTCTTTTCTTTCATTTTCATTTTCTAGTCTTATCCTTATTTTTCATCATTTACTCAATTTGTCCGTCTTCTCAATTTTCCTTTTCTTCAGCTTTTTTCCTTTCCTTTCTAATCATATTAAACCCGTTTATGTTCATGTTACTCTTTTTTCAAATGTTTTAACAAAATAATAATTTTTGCCGCCATTTCATTGGTGCTGCCATCTAATTGACCAAAGGAAAACTCAATGTTTTTCACTTTTAGATTAATCTTCATATAAACTTGTTTATTCATGTTTATTTGTTGTTACTTTTCACTCCATCTATTATAATATTTCAATTCCTAAGCTCATTATTCCCTCATATATTTGTTCAACTCTTGATTATTTGATTAACTTTTTTTCTTCTTCTCTTTCATCATTATTACTTACTGTCAATATTTTATTGTTCCCTTCAAATTATTGTTATATTCTTCACCTTATCTCTTCTTTTTTCTTGTATTTTTTTCTGATTGGTTATTTTTTGCTGTTAGAAACTTATAATTTGAATTCTATTCTTTTTTTGCTTTTTTCTTCTTCTTCCTCATCCTCTTTTAGGTTTATTGTTGATCCTACGCTGAGCATGATGATGACTATGATGATGAGTATGATGGTGATTACAATTATGATGTAGATGATGATGATGCCCACTAAAGATGGTAAGTAAACAAAAACTTTGTTTAATGTTTACTTCACTTTTTCTTGCCTCCCTTTCTTCATTTAACTCTCTTCATCATCTGAATCAAGTTCATCTTATTGCTATTTTCTATTTACATCATCACCACCATCAGCATCATCTTTTACTCTTCAATCTTGTTGCACAACTTCATTGTTATCCAATTTTTATTCTCTCTTGGCAATGAAAAATGATTATTTGTTTTCACCATTTTTCGAGTTGTTTTTTTTCTCTTCTTCTTCTTCATCTCCTTAACGTTTATTGATTATTAATACTAACACTGTTCTCTTCTCTTTTTACAGCTATCATCTATTTAGTGGTTGGTTGATTGTATTTCAATTTACGTGCGTCACTGAAAATGAATGGAACAATGCTGTTCAAGATTGTAAATGAAGGGACAAACCAACGGAATCAAGCGCAAGTCAACTGAATTTAGTGAGGAAAAAAAAAACGATTGAACCAAAGTAAAGAGGTTGACTGAATCGAGTCATTTTTTGCTCTCTGGTTTACGGTTACTTTTCTCATCCTCATCATTCTCAGCATTCCCAGCATCTTCATCATTTGTTAATTTGAGTAAACTTGTATCGTATGTATCATTAGTTTGTGGTTTTATTTTTAAAGTTGACAAGGAATAAGGTTACATCAGCCATGAATAAACAAACAATTAGCTCTTTTTTTGCTTCTTCTTTGTTCTTGTCATCATCATTATCTGATCACAATAATGAAGATAAATAGTAAGAGTGTGAGAGAATGGTAAAAGTGAGTTTCTCTCTTCCTCTTCTAACAAGTTTCAAAAAACAAAATAAATTGTAAAAGTAATGATAATAACTATAAAAGCAATAATTATAATTATAATTATTATTGTTGTGCCTTTTTATTTTATTATCATTATCATTATTACTTTTTGTAACTACCATTGATTCCTTGCCAGTCTTTATCCGATTCATTCACTCATATTACATCAATTTACTGATTAATCAAAATGTTGTCAACTTCAATTAATTAACGACCAAATTAACCACACAATTTTTCCTCATTTAATATTGTCTTTTTGTCTCTCTTTTGCTCTTGTTTTAGGTCTCGCTATTGAAAAATTTTTCCTTCGCATATAAATAAATCAATTGAGTTGGAAAGGAGAGACTGGGAGAGAAATTAAATCATGCATGTTGAGTTATACTCTTAACTGTTCCAGTTGATTAATATGCCTTGGATCGTGTTCAGACAAAACTTTGCTTCACATTTCAATTACAATCATCTACAACACACACACACACACAACTTAAACTTCAAATACACACAAAAGCTAATTAATCAGTAATTCATCAACAATGGATAAAGGAACAGGAGCAAGGAAAGAAAATGGACTAAATTGTTTCAACTAATCAAACAATTAGGAGATAAATTTTCAAACAATTGGTTAAAATGATAGTTGAATTGATAAGTGAAAATTGATTTAAGTAAAATTATCCCACTTAACTGTTATCATTATTAACCAGAATCGCTTTTTTGTTAATAAATTCATCAATAACCATTATATTGACATTAGTAGGCATACTAACAGTATTTAGCAAATTGATTTCAAGGATATTGATTTTTTACTGCCTAAGCACACACACACACACTCACTCATCTTTTTATTATTCAAATTTACTTTGATAGTTATTGAGTGTTTTGATTGTTCTTAAACATTGAAATCAGGTTAATCTTGAAGCAAATTATATGAATTACTTAAATCAATTTTCATTTTATTCATCATTGTTTAATGATTTCACTATCATAATGTTTGGTGTTAATTTAAACAACTACAAAGTTGATGGAAGAAAATGAATTTAATTTCATCTCCTAATAAGCTAATGATTAACTAATAATTTAATATTGTTTTCTTGGCGCTTACGTTAAGTATTCTAAAAAAAGCAATTATTCCAAACATCTCATTAATTTATAGCTAACAAAAGGATAAGATCATTTAAGTCTAAATCACTTTGTTGGCTTTTCATTATTAATTGAGCAAATCACCACTTAATGTAAAAATCATTTTAACCATTTGCTTTGAAAATTAACTCTCCAATTGGTGTTGTAATATAAAGTAAAAGATGGCTCCGTGTGTGTTGAATTGTATATAAAAACAAAATTGGTAAAGGCTTACGGGCAAATTGATTGAAACAAATCAACATCCAACCTGGAAGTGTAAACGAGTTGATTGAATGGCCAAAATTGAACATGAAAGCCAATCTTTGATTCAAGGCATGCTTACAAATTCATCATGAAAAGACTTGAATAATTAAGTAATTAATATTGAAGAGAAGGATAATTGGAGGATCCGCAAAATTGATTAGCAAATGAACGATATGCTTGGTAAATGTTAATAAATCAATATGGCGATGAGGATGGAAAAGGGCAAATTGTATTATTACCAAAAGGATGGCAAAAGTAAAGCTTTTGAATTGGATGTAAAGATTTAATAACACAATAAGGAGCTTGTTTGATTGTCATTTAAAACACTTCACTTACAATCCCTCATTATCTTCAATTGAATCCCCTTTCATTTCCACCCCATCATCATCTTCACCATCTTCTTCTTCTTCTTCTTCTTCTTCCATCATTTCCTAATCAATTGACTGTGAATAGTGTTTTTTTTATTTTCCTTCATCATTCAACTCTCACCATATTTGTAGACATTTATTAATGTATAATATAAATATAACAACTACTTCAATAATAGGAGAGGAAGATGATGATGAGGATAAACTTTATTTCTCTTCACATAAAAATGATAACAATTTTCATCTCTTCTCTTCACTCAATCGTTTGCATTTTGTTCACTTGCATTCAAACCCATTTCACAAGGTTTTTGCCTCTTTTCCCTCTATTTTTTTATGATATGTTACTTTTTCATTATTGTTACTAAATCTTTGATTGTTACTAATTCTAAAAGTAATTTACAATATTCGATTCTTTGATCTCTTCCTTTTATTATTCAATTCAACAATAGGATTAAGTAAATAATGAGTAGATAAATTGATAAATTGAAGAGTAAATGTTAAATTGTATTGGATCAAGGATAAAATTGTACATTCAATGGAAACACACTGATATGTATCTATATTTGCTCTCTTTTTTTTGCTTTGCCATCCAAATATTATACCAATTATGTTTGATGAAAATCTTTTAATCAACTGGCAACTCATAATCGCATTGATCCTCAATGTTTGACAGTTTTGCCATCTAAATGTGTATCAATTGTTATTCAATTATTTACCAATCTGATTGATATCAACTGTTTCTCCTTGTCAATACTTTTAAGCTTCAACAAAATGTTTCTTGCTTTTATCAAATATCATCATGATTATCAGGTTCGGTAAAAGTCTTTTTTTTGCTTGGATTATCAGTTACATCAATTAAGCGCATTATCTCCTTTTCTAATACACAAATTATCTTTTAATTGTGATAATTATTCCACCACCTTAATTATAATTGAAACT